CTGCAGGAGGGGCCGAGGGACATCACTGCAGGAGGGCCGAGGGACATCACTGCAGGAGGGGGACATCACTGCAGGAGGGGCCGAGGGACATCACTGCAGGAGGGGCCGAGGGACATCACTGCAGGAGGGGCCGAGGGACATCACTGCAGGAGGGGCCGAGGGACATCACTGCAGGAGGGGCCGAGGGACATCACTGCAGGAGGGGCCGAGGGACATCACTGCAGGAGGGGCCGAGGGACATCACTGCAGGAGGGGCCGAGGGACATACACTGCAGGAGGGGCCGAGGGACATCACTGCAGGAGGGGCCGAGGGACATCACTGCAGGAGGGGCCGAGGGACATCACTGCAGGAGGGGCCGAGGGACATCACTGCAGGAGGGGCCGAGGGACATCACTGCAGGAGGGGCCGAGGGACATCACTGCAGGAGGGGCCGAGGGACATCACTGCAGGCTGAGGTAAACTACCAGGAAACCCACACAACATGGGTTCAGAAGCATCCTTCTAGGAACTGACCCCCAATTGGCAGTACACCTCTACCAACAAGCAATCCCCCCCCCCCCCCCCCCCCCAAAAAAAAAACAGCAGCCTGGACAGGCAGAGGGACAGAAAGCAGCAAGGCGGATAGACAGCAAAGGGACAGAAAATGGGGAATAAAAAAAAAATGGGAGGGGGAGAAAAAAAAATGGGAGGGGGAGAAAAAAAAATGGGAGGGGGGGGGAGGAGAAAGAAGGGAAAAGGACAATACCAAATCCAAAGCACAGGCAAGCACCACACACAAGACAAAAAAAATGTATGCAACTGCCTCATGAAAGAACCCAATTTGGGCACAGCTTCTGAAGCCTGCACCACGGGCATAACTGTCACAATAGTCGACACAAAACCCAAAACATCCAGGCAGCTCAAGAGCTAGGTGGATACCACCACAGCCCTAGAGCAGAAAATGGAAAAAAATGAACAGGGGGGGGGGACTCATACCTCTACAGCCAGGGCTCCAAAAGACAAAAGCAACTGCACATGGCATTACCATATGTACACGTCCAGGGGCAGGACAGAAGCAACAGACAAGCAATAGGAGCACTAACTAGGCACTAGCCTAGAGAAAACATCAAAGTGAGCCCACCTCACGCGAGCAGTTTACTACGGAAAAGCCGGGCCAAGCCCCAAAAAAGAACGAGCGAGGCACCTACAAGCCAGGACGAATCGGTGAATGCAACACTGGAAGGCCAAAGCAGACCCCACTCAAAATAGATTGGGTCCAACAGTGATTTGGCATCTTGAATCACGAGGAGAAACTTAAAATCAGATCAAGGTGAACACAGGAGGTGGGACAATAAACTGCACACACCTGAGGACTAGTAAGATAAATGCACCTGGGGAAGTAACAGCCAAGGAATCTAAAAAAAAATTGATGGACAACAAGGAAGACTTCCCATCATCCCAAGCAAAAATATAAAAAATAAATGAATAATTGCACAGGTAACCAGAGACCAGCACAGGTACAAGAGCACCCAGGGACCCACCATTTAAGAAATGAAAGGTACACCAACTGCCACCAGGTGGCAGCATATGATGAGGTCTACTCTATCCGAGTGCATCCACCCCCATTTTCTGTTCCCCCCAGTGGATGGCTGTGATCTTACTGACAACTGTGTAGTTTCTTACTAATCACATTTTTCTCCTCAGAAGTGATGTGGGTGGTACCTTGGTCGACAGGAATCTGTTTACCCATGGACGGTCCTGAACTCAAGACGTGTTCCAGTGGGAACAATTGGCCGAGTCAGCGAAGACTGGTTTGTCGTCTGATAGTGAAGTACCATACTGTATTGGTGATTGGACCGACGTACTCTGATATTACGAAGTTGAGTTACGAGATGGAATCAATGTCTGTCAAAGCTTGTTATAATTGAAGCCTGCCAGCAAGCTGCTGGAGAGTAGGAAATGTGTTTTGGCACAATGACAATACTGTGATAGGACTGGCCCATTAATTAACCGAGAAAGGTGAACTCGTCAGCGTGAGGACCATAGACGACACTCTAGGAGGAAACCTTGAGTGGTGTACAATAGAAGATAGAAGTTGACTTACCAGGAAAGAAGATTGCAGAAGTTTTATAGTGTCCTCCCGCCAAACACACGCCGAAACTACGACGTTGCTACAATGTTTGAACAAGTTTTAATACCTTACAAGTTGCAAAAACAAATATAGCAAGTTGTAACAACATTCTAATATCATAAAAATGTTATGTTATAACAAGACAACTTTATTACAAGTTGTAACAAGCGGAAAATAGGGACAGTTACGTTATGTGTTTGCTGGGCTGTGCCAAGTGACACCTGCAACATTATGTCATGCATGTGTGTATATATTGTCAAGACGTACACTTGGTGATGGTTCTGTTTAGCGTTGTTTACCCCCTTTTTCCTGTAGATTGATTATTACTGCCAGTTCTTAATAATTTACCCATGACTTGGGGTGGGATTGTGTAAGAAGAGGCACCAAGGCCCCATAAACAGTTTGATGAGAACCCGGTTACTGGCTAAGTGAGGCTGTAACACAGCACTATCAGAAATTCAGTAGACCCGCAACCCCAATCACAAGGAATCAAGGAAATGGGAGAAAGATAGGGAATAATAGCCTCCAAGGGACCAACACCTGTTTCATTATGCTTAACTCCCATTTCCAAACAAAGGCAGCCCCCCCCCCCCCCCCCGCCCTTCCCCACCAAAGATTCTTCCTCACAAGAAAAGCTACCCAAATATTAACAAAATGAAAGCATTTGCCTGAAATGAAGAGATAGGAGGCAGAGAACATTGAAAACAAACTACCCTGTAGTTTCAAATCCAGAGCCCCCCCCCCCCTTACACACCCAGCCACCAATTAGGATCAGATGGAAGATAATTAATTTTGGCTACACAGTGATGCTTAAGGTGAGATACATTGTGTAAATAATGAAGAACAGGGGATGCCACAGAACAGAACTAAAATCCCAGAGGAAGCCTGTGAAGAAGATCGTGGATCAAAGGTGGTGTACACCATGAAATTCAAGAGATTGTGACTGGTCACCAACCGGAAAAACCAGTCTAGCCTCTAGTCACATCCTAACCCAGGAAGATGCACAATGCACGGAAGGTTCAGCTAGCCCAAGAGATTAAATACCAACGAGAAAACAGATGCCTCCAAATGATCAGATGAAGGGAAGCAAGTTGGCAAGATAATCTCCATGGAAGAGTCGTGGTGTGCCATTCCAGGACCTAATGTTTGAATTATTATATCAAACAAGCCTAATGATCATTCCGAGAGCCCAATTGATTAGTCATGGCACGGTACCAAAATTTCTAACGAATCTGGTGCCGATTCCACCAACAAGGTCTCAATTCAGATACGATTATCAATTCGGATTCTTTTCAAAAGTACTGATTAGATACACACCTGAAAATTTTGGTATTTTAGTTTGAAAAATGGATAGTAAATATAATATATTTATGACAAACAATCAATTGGTAAATCAAGCATAATCTCCTGGAAGAAACCTAGAGTGAAAAACTTTCATTATACTGTACATGCAGACATACATGCTTTAATTGTGTACTATACAATAAAATTATATTTGTAATCTTATTTCATATAAAGTTTATATTGCAACAATAGCTCAATTAAAGCATAACTAATTTCTTTTTGACTCAAAAAGTAATCTTTAACCATTGTACTGCACATAGCACCTTAGGGCTCTTTAATGGATGGTGCAAAAAAGTTTTATTTACCAACATTTCAATGTTTTTTCACCGATTTGAAATGAAAATCGTTGAGTTTGGTAATATTTGGAAATTGTTTTAATTATTAAACATTTTCAGTTATGTGCAGTCCAGGAGTTTAATCTACAAAACAAATAAACACTGAAAACATTCCAGTGCCCATCACAGATGTACATATACACAATTTACAACATTTTTAATACTTTTTTCTAATAAAAATTATTAATACTTTAAACCCAAGATAAATTGTAATGTAAAAACATAAGCATCTATCCTATTTCTGCTTGCATTCTGTTGGGCAATTGTAATACATTGTTAAGGATCATAATTTTAATAATTTGAATTATCAAAGATGAAAAGTGAATTGTTAAAAAATAGTTTTAATTATCAGAAATCATGATAAATTTCTCTATTCTAATACCAATTACTGAAACATGTTCAATTCTTCTAAATCTCGATATAGATTCTGATTAATCGTCCCATCACTACAAAAGATCCCATAGGAATGGTACGAATATTGATGTACTAACACTGACAAGGTGATTATCCACGAAAGGACAATGATCACGTATCCAACAAATCGAGAACGAAACAGAGTTTCTTCGCTACAAGAAATGTCTACATTACTGGTAATGTAGGGGGCCACGGCAATCACATCACTGTCCAACATCTAGCAAATGTTTAGAGTACTGGAGAAGATGGCTGCACAGGACCAAGGAACACCTAAGGAAAACTAGGGAACAAAGCTATCATCCTTGACCTGGAAAGCCCAAGCATCCCTGGTCAAAGACCAGGCACACATATCCATGATGTTACCTCGGGCCAGACTTGGGGGAGTAGAACTACCAGAACCCCATCAACCAGGTATCTATAGGAGCAACAATAAGGCCTATCGAGCCCTAAGAGGGAGACTAAACTGCAGGTACTTGTTAAGGAGGAACAGAGGCTATTAATTGGCCTGATACATTCATCACAAGGTGGAACCAAGGAAATTACATACCCAAGCAGAAAAGTGGGACAAGATTTATTACAATTACAAAAAGAAAAAAAAAAAAAAAGGTAGGGGGAGGGCACCTTCCACCCAAAAGGAATTTTGTGAAAGGTAAAAACTCTTACATATTCACCATACAAAATACAATCAAATAATTACAGTACTGAATAACAACTGAATTGTGGATATATTTCAGCATACTGTACTTTTAAGCACTGTACTATATTCAAATTAAAAATTAAATAAAATTGCACATACCTCATTCCTTTTTTCATCATCCACTTTGGGATGCCAAATGCTCCGCTTGGCGGCTCGATGGTGTTATCTTCCATCACGACTAACTCACTATATTTAATGAATTTCAAGAGAATATACTGTACACCGACCGAAGTATTTGAAACAAAGTTGAAAACAATGATCTTTGTAAACTATTACAACAGTTAAAGCTTAATACTGGCAAACCATGTTAAGAAAGCAAGCACAGTATGCAACAAAGGTCATGGAGAGAAGAAGAAAAAAAGTTTGACTATCAATTCAAGCAGGAGCTATCTTGTTTATTGACGCCAGCAAGGATAATGTTCGAAGTCTTCTAACCATCATCTTGATTCAATCTAAAAATATAATAAAAAAAGTAATGTAAATTTTATATAAATCCTAATTTTACATATACAGTACTATGAAATGCAAGAATCTATACAAAAACAAGAAATGATCTTAATGAATATGACGGGTTAAAACAGACAAATGAACAGTTGAAATGTCAAGAGTAGCGAAGGTTTGTTTGCAGGGTTTGTGATTAGACGCAAAGTCGATTGTTTAAGGGGCCGGGTTTGCTATTTTCTCAACCTCTCAAAACTCAAATTTTTTGGCATAATCTACATGGTAAATGTTCCAACTTTTCCTAGTGGAACATCATAACATGAATAGAAAAAAAAAAAAAATAAAGTTAATAATTTTGATAAATTGAAAATTTTACATTTCCAAATTAACTTTAAAATTGTAAAATGTCACCAAATTTAATTTTATTCATTTTGGTCCCAGGTGCCATTGTGGTTTGCATTTCATTATGGTTTATTCATTATGGCATATAATGTTCATTTTCATAAAATATAGTTTGAGAGGATAGTTTACTGCAAAAATAACTGTCAATGTGGCCTTCCAAATATGCGCCAAATTTAAACGCATCATTTATAGCTCCAAAAAGTTATGGGGGTTTATGAACACATTATAAAATGACACCTCAGAACTAAGAACTTTGCACACATGTGAAAATGGCAAGAATTGACCAGAAACTGAATTGTTAAAGCTGTCTCAAAGTTGAAAATCCTGTTCATAGAAATATTTTTAAGTCCTCGACAATAAACAAAAAGTTGTAGGTCAATAATCTCTTGAAATAAAGCCAAGAAAAATAAAACATTTACTAAACACATACATATAAGTGTTATATATATTTAAAACATTTCACAGGTATATTTTGATGTCCATTGACTTTATTCGCACTTGTATTGTGTATTTACCAGTGTTGTAATAAATGGCACTACAAGTGAAAATAAATTCCAGTAAACTGCATTAGGTAAAACAAATAACATTTGTAGTCAAGGAGAGTGGCCCCGAGGGGCAGGGGGGGGGTGGTCGCACCGAGGCGGGGGCATGGGGGAGAGTGACCCCGAAAGGGGGAGTGAAATTGGCACGACCAATGCCAGATGCTAACATTTTAAAATATGTTTCGGTTTTTGATGAATATTTTAGAGGTCCCGGGCCCCCCTTAATCTCCCATTATTCTCATTTTCAGGGCAGCAAGTTTAGCCTTTTGTGTGAATTCAGTCTATGTAATTTGTTGTTTGATGCTGAATACTTCCTATTTTGGCCCTATATTTTGTGAAGCATGGCGACCAAAATGTTACAGGTGGGTTGTCTACTCCCAGTTGGGAATCCTGGGTTCGAATCGTGGGCAGAACAGAAATGGTTGGGCACATTTTCTTTCACCTAATGCCTCTGTTCACTAAACAGTAAATAGTTACCCAGAAGTTGGTCAACTGTTGTGGTGTTGCATATGGGAGAAGGTCAGTACTTCGGCCCTGTAGGTGGAAGACCTTAATAGGAGTCTACAGTATTGTGGGCATGTTGTTCACAGGTTACCAGTGGTTTACAAAAATAATTATTGCCATCATTGACGACTTGTTTAGCAAGACTGACTTTCCGATTTAATAGAAATATTTCCTCATGGAACTTCAGGGGGCATATGCCAAAAAATATGCAATAAATAAAAACTGGTTCGATTTCAAACTTTTTTGACTAGTTGTATATGAAATTGGGTTCAACTGGCCCAAGTCTCAGCACCGTAGCATAAATAGGAAGGGAGAAAAAAAATATTGAATTTTGTCAATTTTCCAAAATGGTCAAAAATTAACATCAAACAAGCGTCAACCGAAATCATGTCTATGACTAAGCTATCACAATAGCATATAATAAAGTATTTTAATATTTACTTTTATGCCAAAAAAAAAAAAAAAACTAATCTCATTTTTTATCAGCCGATCTGCATGAAACTTATAAACCTTACAGAATGAATGCCTATCTGTAAGGATGCAAATTTTGGAGGACATTGGTTGAAGTCAACTTCAACCGCAGGTGGCAGTGTTTGATCTTATTTATTTTCAAGTAACAAAATTAACTCCTCTTTCCTTTTTTTTTCAATTTACATGAAATTTACACCTTATATGTAGAGTTGACATCTATAACATTTGTAAAACACTTTATTCCCAAGCTCATTTATTGATTTCATAAATACTTGCAAACATGAAATATTGGCATATATTTGTGGAACTTTAAATAATCCTTTTTATAAAAATCCTTTAATATATGCTAATATGATAGACAAATGTCATAGAAATGATTTCATTTGAAAATTGTGGTTTTAGAATATTACTGAAAATGTGTAAAATTCGTTGAAAAAAAAATAATCCCGCCTTTTCTATTTAGGGTGCGATGCTGAAACGTAGAAATTGCAGCCCTTATATACAACTAGTAAAAAAAAATTTGGTTGACATTAAACATTTAAAATCCCATAATATTATCCCTTAATACTTTAGGGGCCTGACGGCTGAGTGGACAGCACCCGGGGTTCGTAGTCCTAAGGGACTGGGTTCGATCTCCGGCTCAGGTGGAGACAAACGGGCATTTCTCTTTCACCCTGATACCTTCACCTAGCAGTAAATAGGTATCCGAGAGTTAGACAGCTGCTACAGGTTGCTTCCTGGGGGGGGGGGGGTGTGCGAGAAAATTAGGATTAAGGACTTGCCTGAAACACAGTGCTAGTGGCTAGACAAGAATTTAAAAAAAAAAAAAAATTGTAATAATAATAATAAATTTTATTTAGGCAAAGGTACATACATAAAGAGATATTACAAAGTTTGTTGGCTTTATAGATAGAGCTAGTACATACAATGCCTAAAGCCACTATTACGCAAAGCGTTTCGGGCAGATAATATAAAATATATGTAAATATATATACAAACTAACCCATGGGGTGAGGGAGTCAACACGTCTCCAATTGCTACCAAGAAAATATTTTGTTAATATTCACTTCCATTGATAAATACAGTACTATATATGGATAATAGTAAGATCAGTAAATAGGTTTCTTTGTACAATTTTTGCTTTTAACCAAATAATTGTTCCCAAGCAGGCAGGAACTATGAGGAGCAAGCGTCAAGCCATTACCACTATACAGCACCTGGAAGGCATTAGAATAAGGTTTTGGCCAGACTATTAACACACAACTGGACAAAATAATTAGTGTTCTGTGTGAAGCAATCCTCAACCCTTACCGTACCATCTTACACAGGTTACACACGACTCCAACAGTCTTCACAAGACTCAACAAACTCAGGTTAGGATCGTATTCAAAACTGAAGAAGACACATTACAGTACACCTTCAGTGTAGGTGGGGGAGAAGGTCAGTGTGGCAGGATATACGTAATGGAGGACCCGTTGCTACCCGAGCTCCACCACGCCACAATACCACTCCTCTTGCCCTATTAACACCCAGCCTGCTACTATACACACAAACCCCGCATGCCTGAGGATCCACTCTACACTTCTGCACACAAAAGAGCCACTAACAATATACTTACAGGGCCGAGAAAGTAATTTTCCCGAAGCGCGAGTGAGAGAGTAGTGAAGGTGGTGGTCGGGGCGGCCTAACACGCCTCCGTTTTCTACCCGTGTGGCTGTGTCCCGACCCGTGCCCTGACCTTGGCTTCCTCTTCACCTCTCCTACCCGCGCTCCTTATGTGCGCATCATCACCAATGCTTGTCAATAGCTTATTAATAAAGCTATATGTCTTATTTTAACAAATTATGTCATGCAAGGGTTTGGAAACGTATATTTTGTTATATGTGATGTGGAGGTCGTCATTGCAAAGGCGCACAAGCGCTTGTCACGTGATTGGCAGCTTAAGGTGGGGATAAATTAAGCGATAAACCTATAGGTGTTCCATTCTTCATTGTTATAAACGCACTATTTGAAAAAATGTCTGAAACTCAAACGGGCGAAAGCACAGTTATTAACAGAGTTTGTCATTTTAATGCTTCGGCGGGTAGGTAGTTGCATGGGTTTATAACCGTATGGGTGCAAAAGCATCTCCTGTTTTCAGTCCTACTTTGTGGCTTCTTGAGCTTGAAACCGTTGCTCCTTGTTTGTGTTACATCTGATCTTTTGAAGAAATTGATCTAGATCAACATCCTACAAACTGTCTTTTCGCATTAACCCTTTCCACTACTGCACACAAGATGGGTATGGTGGGCATAATAAATTTCTGGAAACTGTAACCGGCTATTCAGACAATTAAAGGACTTCTGGAAAGACAGAAAAATTGCTGTGATTCACGACAGAAAAAAACCAGTGATGCAAACTCCCAGGAACTCTCAACAGGCAACCCTAACCAGTAGGACGCATGAGACGCAAATTAATAGAAGGAAGCGGCTGTTATTCCCTACAACATGCCAACTGAACTTCCATGAAAAGCTGGAGTGGACAGTACGTCTGGCTAAGGAGTGTTTTGCATATGAACCACTATTCAAGTAGGGTCTTCATCGGCCCTACGTAACCGAAACGCTTTGCGTAATAGTGGCTTTAGGCATTGTATGTACTAGCTCTATCTATAAATCCATCAACTTTTGTATTTCACCTTGTATGTATGTACTTTACCTGAATAAATATTTGTATTTGTATTTTGTAGCAGTTGGGACAGAAAAGGCCGTGGAACACCTAACGACGGTTGGGTCTAAGGATATTGTGATGGTTACTCCAGAAGAAAATATGATGCATACTAAGATCATAGTTATTAAGTATCCAACTTATTTGGATCCTGATTATCTTCTTCTCAACAATGATAGTGTTGTTTGGGCAAAGAGGAACAATGTTCGTGGTAAAAAACAAAGCCAGGTTGTTGCCTTAGTAAAAGGGTGAGGCTTCAAACAGGATTTTTGTGCAAGGACTACAAATACAAAATACAAATACAAATATTTATTCAGGTAAAGTACATATGTACTTTAAATACAAACATTTATTCAGGTAAAGTACATATGTACTTTACCTGAATAAATATTTGTATTTGTAGTCTTTGCACAAAAATCCTGTTTGAAGCCTCACCCTTTACTAAGGCAACAACCTGGCTTTGTTTTTCACCACGAACATTGTTCCTCTTTGCCTAAACAACACTATAACATGCAAGGTAAGATACAAAAGTTGATGGATTTATAGATAGAGCTAGTACATACAATGCCTAAAGCCACTATTAAGCAGAGGGTTTTGGCCAGGAAAAACACAAAGACTAAAACTTAATACTAATTGAGATTAAAGTATAAATTGTGTTGAGAAAAAATAAAAAAAAATGGAAAAGGAAGGGGGGAACATGGCAGAAAAAAAGCAAAAATACAATTTGGTCAACAAACAGCATTGTTTAAAATAGAAGACATGGGTTGACATTTTGGGTGAGGTAGGTTACCTAACCTACCTCACATGGGTGAGGTAGGTTACATTGAGTTAATTAGGTAGTATTTAGTTTTTATCTTAAACTGGTTGGGAGAGGTATAGTCTTTAACATAATTGGGAAGGTCATTCCACATTCGAGGTCCCTTGATTTGTAAAGTATTTCTAGTTTGACTGAGTCGTACTCTTGGAATATCAAATAGGTATTTGTTTCTGGTGTGGTGCTCATGGGATCTGTTACAACATTCTAGGAAGCTTTTAAGGTCAGAATTGACATTACAGTTCAGCTGTAATGACATTACAGTTTACAGCTCTGGTCAACATTACAGTTCAGCGTTTAATATATATAAAATACACATGAGAAGATGTGTAGGGACTTAGGCTACAGGAAAGTTGCAAAATACATTGAAGAGCCTATATTATGCATGAAGTGTTCTCGTTGGGGACATATGATGTGGAAATGCCAGTTTGACCCCAGGTGTCGGTATTGTGGTAAGAAACACGACTAGCAAGAGTGTAGAATCAAGATTGAAAAAGGGGAAAAATTCGTCCCATCTTGTTGCAATTGTCGAGGTAACCACAATACTTGGGCATCCTAAGATAATTCTTACAAAATGAAACCATGAGGATTATCTTAGGATGCCCAAGAAATGCTATGATTAAGATAATGAGGATGGAGTTGAAACTGAAGAGTATTGGGGATAGAATTTCAGAGATAAATGTAGCCTCTGCCATTAGATTAATGAGAGGTGTGGGAGCTAATGAAAAGGAATTGGCAAAACGATCAGGGAAAGAGAAGGTCCGCAAAATAACAATTCACTTAGGGTATATTACACTAACAGTAGAAGTCTAAGAAATAAAATTAACGAATTAAATGCTCTTGTCTGCACAGAAAAAATAGATATTATTGCACTTACCGAAACGTGGATGAATGTAGAAAATAGAGAACTATTAGCTGAATATCAAATATATGGATTTAAACTATTTCACACAGATAGATATATTAGACGAGGAGGTGGAGTAGCCATATATGTTAGGGACAATTTGAAATGTAGTCTCAAAGAGGGAATCAAAACAGAGCCACACACAGAAACTATTTGGATTGAATTAAACGAAAAAGCTAATAATATTATAATAGGAGTAATATATAGGCCACCAAATTTAGACAGAATGGAAGCAAAGCATCTATGGGATGAAATATCTAGAGCATCTAGATCTAACAGTATTTATGTCATGGGTGACTTTAATTTTAGCGGAATAAACTGGTTGAACAAAACAGGGAATAGTGAAGCAGAAGATTTTCTAGAATTAATTGACGATTGCTTTCTTACGCAACACATTAAGGAACCAACACGGGAAAATAATATTTTAGATTTAGTGTTAACTAACAGGGAAACGCAAATTAATGACATCGAAATAGGGAGTGAGCTAGGGAGCAGTGATCACAAAGAAATCAGATTTAGCATAGAATGGAATAGACCAGTAGGAGAAAATTCTGTTAAAGTGCCAGATTTTCGAAAAGCTGATTTTAATAGCCTAAGAATTTTTTTGGGTCAAATTGATTGGAAAGTCTTGGTATGGGGTGTGGGCCGGTCTTGGAGCGAGACATGAACCCAGCGATAGGTGACTTAAATGGGGATTTCGATGTGGATTCAATATATAACTTATTTAAGAATATTCTAAACAAAGCACAGGAACGTAGTATACCATACAAATTGAATAGATCGAATACTAATGACCCAAAGTGGATAACAAAGAATTTGAAGAACCTTATAGGTAAAAAGAGAGCTTGGTACAAAAGGATTAAAAATGGGGAGGTCACTTTAGAACAGGAATTCGTACAACTGGTTAGAAATGTTAAAAAGAGATAAGGAAAGCAAAAAGAAACTATGAAGTTCGCATAGCAGGGCAAGCAAAGACAAATCCTAAAGGGGTTTTTTCAGTTATATCGTACCAAGACTAGGGAAAGGATAGGTCCATTAAAAACTGAGACAGGTCAAATAACAGATAGTGATGAAGAGAGGAGTAGTATTTTTAATAAATATTTTGTATCTGTATTTACTAAAGAGGAACTTAACAATATGCCTTCAGCCGAACAAGTCTATGTGGGTGGAGACGAGGACAGGTTGATGAGTTTAACAGTTACTAGGGAGGATGTTCTTAAACAAATAGTAAAACTCAACCAAACAAATCCCCAGGGCCGGATGAAGTGTTTGCCAGAATGCTTAAAGAATGCAAAGAGGAGCTTTGTGACCCACTGTCAACCATATTTAATAAATCAATAGAGTCAGGCAGAGTGCCAGAGTTTTGGAAAGTTGCTAATGTGATACCAGTTTTTAAGAAAGGAGATAGATCACTTGCGTCTAACTATCGACCAATTAGCCTAACGTCTATTAACATAAGAACATAAGAACAAAGGTAACTGCAGAAGGCCTATTGGCCCATGCGAGGCAGCTCCTATTCTATAACCACCCAATCCCACTCATATACTTGTCCAACCCGTGCTTGAAACAATCGAGGGACCCCACCTCCACAATGTTACGCGGCAATTGGTTCCACAAATCAACAACCCTGTTACTGAACCAGTATTTACCCAAGTCTTTCCTAAATCTAAACTTATCCAATTTATACCCATTGTTTCGTGTTCTGTCCTGTGTTGATACTTTTAATACCCTATTAATATCCCCCGGTATGTCCATTCATCCACTTGTAAACCTCTATCATGTCACCCCTAACTCTTCGCCTTTCCAGTGAATGCAACTTAAGCTTGTTAATCTTTCTTCATATGAAAGATTTCTAATTTGGGGAATTAACTTAGTCATCCTACGCTGGACACGTTCAAGTGAATTTATATCCATTCTATAATATGGCGACCAAAACTGAACTGCATAATCTAAATGGGGCCTAACTAGAGCAAGATATAGCTTGAGAACCACACCAGGTGTCTTGTTACTAACGCTGCGATTAATAAATCCAAGTGTCCGATTTGCCTTATTACGAACATTTATGCATTGATCCTTTTGTTTTAAATTCTTACTAATCATAACTCCCAGATCCCTTTCGCAATCCGACTTCGCAATCACAACACCATCTAGCTCATATCTTGTAACTCTATCATCATTACCTAACCTCAGAACTTTACATTTATCAGCATTAAACTGCATCTGCCAATCCTTTGACCATTTCAAAACCCTATCTAGATCAACTTGAAGTGATAGTGAGTCCTCCTCCGAATTAATTTCCCTACCGATTTTCGTATCATCGG